TTCTTTCTTTCTTTCTTTCTTTTTCTTTCTTTCTTTTCTTTCTTTCTTTCTTTCTCTTTCTTTCTTTCTTTCTTTCCTTTTTTTGATCTGATGATCAGGAAAACTGTGGCATGTCTGTGTGTAATGGGAAAATCTATATCCTTGGTGGGAGAAGAGAAAATGGAGAAGCCACAGATACGATTCTTTGTTATGACCCTGCAACAAGCATCATTACAGGAGTAGCTGCCATGCCCAGGCCAGTATCATACCATGGCTGTGTGACTATTCACAGATACAATGATAAGAAGAATTTTTGAGTAAGAAATCAGGCTCATATTACTGCCAGGATTTGTAGGATTCATTTTTTAAAAAAAGGAACACTGCCTTTTCCAAAGTGTCATCTGGAAAGGAACGTTGTGTTTAAAGTCTGAAATGTAATCAAACATGATTGTTAAATATTTCTCATAGCTGTGATTTCTAACATGTTCTGAAATCATTAACAGTTGATGTTACTAAACAGATCATGCTCATGTTCATATTGTAATTTTTTCATGTTTATTTCAAACCGTTTTATCTGTATTTTTCATATTTTTTAATGTGATAAGTACTGTTTACTGTCAAAGACATGTGAAAATTTAAGTTTGTATCTGTGATTATGTGTAAATGTTTTAAGTAATATTATTTGCCTTTTTCATTTTATTTCATTAATTGGACTTATATTTATAGAACTGCTGTTAGAATAATTTTTAAAATATTTGAAGATCTGAACAATGATATAAGCCTATGTTGACTTTCATTTTCATGAAAGACTTTTAATCAGAAAGCATTTTAAAAAATATTTAGGTCCATCTGTATGTAGGGTCATTCAGTTAAGGAAGTGTTTCATTTTTCTAGTATATGGTATGTGATTACTTTTCATTTTACTTCTAAATGAGATCTTAAAACAACTTAGCTAAATCTTCAGAATTCCCATCTGAAATTAAGCATAGTAAGGCTCACATCATAGTTGCCGATTAGAAGTGTCCCAAAGAAACCATAATTAAGACTCTGTCACTCATTATACCAGGTCTCAGAATTGTTCCCAGATTGGTAAATAGCAACTTTAGATTAAAAAAAAAATCCAAGTGGTAAGGAGCTTTTGTTTTAAGATACAATAGAACCAACAAAAAGCAGTTGATTAATCATTCTTTGTCTTCCATTAAAGAATGAAAACATCTCCCATGTAGCTGTTACTAATATTTTCCAGATAGCCACACCTATGTTATGAATAATTTCTGAATTCTACTTTTTCTGTAGCATACCCTGTACAACTTGAATAAATTTGACATATTTAATTTAGTGTAGAAAATACATATTAAAGACATGATTTCTAGGCACAAAAATGATAAGTATACATGTAACCAGCACTGTTGTGTTGCATGTTCCTGTGGTCAGCAGTTGTATGACCATAATATGAAAAGCATTTACAGTACAAGAACATGCTTTACAAGGAAAATTCACTACACCATCTTCTATGTCAATGTTTGCTTCCTGAATATTTGCCAACTGTATGAACTTGAATATATATATATGACAAGTGCTATATGTGCATAATTTGCTATATATGATTATACTGCTCTGAATATTATGAATTTTCCTTAGACATTCTCACATAAGGAAGTTATGTATATTATTTTTACCTCTTCATTTTTACATCTGGCCATGTTCAGCCAACATACAGTTGCTTGACTGGACTGTGAGGCTTATTCTCCCATATAAACTAACATTTAATCTTTCAGTGAAATAGATTATCAGGAACTGAGTGAAGCAGGGTTCTCTGAAATATGCTTGATTAAGTAGTTCTAGTTGATTTTCAAACAGTCATTATGTACTATGTGGCCTCAAATTTCTGAAGCCTTGGAATCTTACGTAACTGTACATTCATCAAACATTTGTTTTAACAAGGGTATGGCTCAAAATTAATTATTTACTGAGTGCTTTATCTTATATATATTCATGTGTTCACAGTGGGTGCCATTATATACTTTTAGTATTGACTATACTTCTATTATTGGAAGCATTTGTGCTGCTGTGCAGTAGATTTACATGTTGTGATTATTCAATAATATATGAACTAACAGCCAAATGAGTTTAGTTTCTGACTAGAGAAATCCAGTCAAGCCCTTTTGTTCCAGCCGTGGAAGAAGAATAGATTTTCATAGACATCAAAGGGGTTGTTCCCTCTCTTGATTCCACTGAGAAGCTATTCTGTTAGTGAAAAGGAATGCATTGGATTTCACTAATATCATAAAAATACATTAAGTCAGAGGTGGACAACCTGCTGCCTTTGAGTCCCCTTTTGCAGCCCACAAAATCTCTGGCCATTATTTCTGAAAACTGACAGCACTGTTTCCTGCCATTTCAAGATTAGGAGCAAATGAAAACTACGGAGTAAGTCCCAAACCAAGTCCTATCAGAGTTAAACAAAATTAGGAACCCCATGAATTTCCCTGAAAACACACTCTTGTCCACATATGTGGTGTGATCCCACCTGCTCTGCAGCCCTTTATCCTACAAAAGCCATTTTAGTGTGACCCTTGGCCATCAAGGCTACTTCTGCATGAAATATATCACTTGACAGGTTTTTGTTAAAGCAGTATCAAAGCTGTCATTCCTATTTTGAATGTACAAAAGTTCACAAATGGCAAGTGTTGAACCAACTGGATAGACCCCAACTGCAGCTCTTTTTTTCTTGGCATCTATTTTGGAAGTGTTCCTTTTAAAAATGAGACATGCCTGGATAATGGTATGGTATGGTATTTGCTTGCTTATTTTCAGCTATAGTGAAGAAATATTGTTTCCTTAAAACTTCTTTACAACTACAGTTTGGGTCATATTTGTTATCCTAATTAATCACAAGAAATTCCTGTTTCTAGTTGTGAATGAATCAAGCTGCAGCTATCTATCTGAAAATGTCACCAATGCATGTCACCTGTTTATACAGTTTGATATATCATGCCAAATAAATCTGGCTTGCCATCTACAGGAAATTTGCCCTATTTTACATGTTGGTTATTCTACTCTAATTTTGCATGCCTGCTGTTTTTCTCATTAGAGTCCATTCAATGCAATTCAAATGGACAAGCAGAAAAAATCACCCATTAGTTTTGTATTTACATATTTCAGCAAGAATCACTACAGATATATAATCTATATATAGTTTACTTGATTTTTTTGTAATATAGTGGAGCTTTTTTCTGTGACTTCAGCCACTGGCCTGCATTTTGATGCTGTCACATTGGTTAAATCAAATATACCCAATATTAGATCTTATAGAAATAACTTCTAGTGAATAAAGTTGCGATCCCTAGATAAACCTTTAGGGATTACCTTAATCTAACAGCTCCTTTCCTGATCTGCAATCTATATTATAACACTGTACAGAGAGCTGGATTCAAAGAGCAAAATGTGGTTTGGAGCACAGACAAGTACATACGTAGCATCTATCAGGAACAACTGCACCAAGCTGGTGAGAGACCTCAGAAAAAGATGTGCATTCCAAATCCCATTTAGTCTGTCAAATCTGGATCTCTATGCAGCCTTACTGTATTATGTTTTAATCTTAATGTGACTATAGTTCAGCTATGGATATAGAAACAGTCACCCATTGTCTGATGACAGTTATCCCATACTATATTGATTTAATCTAGAAGCCCCATATATAGCTGTACTTTTGTAGCACAGCATTTGAAAAGTCCTTCTCAAAAACTCATTAGCGCAAGGAAAACACATCTTCATAACCTTAAAGCATCCTTTTGAAAGGCTTGTGCAATTGCTTCAAAGGCCATTTCCACCTGTATGTGCATGCACAGCTGCTTTACTTTGTTAGTAAGTCCCAGTTGAAGTTTCTGGGTATGTACCATGCACACTTAGGCAGCTGGGGAGCAGCCTGCAACTTCTTCAGAAGGCAGGGATGACTGAGTGCTTTGAAGGGGCTTACACTTTATTATGCACTTCTGAATGCTTTGTAAAATCTTGCCATGTTATTTCATCAGAGCTGTGGATTCTGTGTTCTTAATCAGGGATCCTGCTAACATACCTCATTCTTTGAAAGAAAAAGCATTTTCCTTTGGTCTTTTCATTCCTATATGCAATTCTGCCATGTATAAAAAGTGAATGATGTAATAAAAGAAAAAAGCAAAATATTATGATGATATAATATCTGACTAATTCTATGCCTAATTTTAATGCAATTCTGCCATGTATAAAATTTGAATGATGTAATAAAAGAAAAAAGCAAAATATTATGATGATATAATATCTGACTAATTCTATGCCTAATTTTATAACTGAAAAGTCTATGCGACAGTACTGAGGGAAAAATAAAGCAGGTGACTTTTATTCAGATATACTAAGAATTATTTTCACAAAGTTCCTTTTTTGTAAATAAGAACTATTGTTAATGTCTAATATAAACTGAGTTTTTGTACATTGAATAATTGCAAAATGGCAACTAACCATGACCTTGCTATTTTTTGTGCGCTTTATACTGTAAATAAAAACATTTTGTTACAACTATTTCCAAAATATATGTATTTAATATATATTTAAAATTGCGCTATTCTGTAATACTCTACTTGGCTTTATATAGTTGTGGAACAGCAACCTGCTTATACTTGTGATTTTTACAGGCTTGCTTTCTGTTTACATTAGAATTGAAACAAATGGTTCTATCAAATGCAGACAATGACCGTACATAATAGTAGTTCAATAGCTCACAAGTATATATGTTTAATATAATCTAAATTGCAATAATGTCCAGGCAATTTATATGCCTGATAAAGCATATGTGCTGCACAAATTATATATTTATTTACTCCAAATACAATCCCATTATATATATTCATTTATTTCCACATTTGGTGTTAAGCTGCTGCTGCTGCTAATTGCAAATTATTTCCTTTTGTGTGAAAAGTTACTCGTTTTAGAAACTGAACCTCCATCATACCTATGCAACACATTGCTTGATCTTTGTTAATAAAGTTCTTTCATTTGTGAAGGATTCCAAAATGGTTGGAATCCAGATAGCATCATCCTAATGCTAAATGAAACTTTATTTGCATGCAAAATTTAAAAAGTATCTGAATATTATTAACTCACAAAATGTATTGGTCACTGAATTATGCGGCTGTATTATCTGGTTCTTGTGCAGTCCTGGAAATACTTTTGATTACACTGTAGCCTAGTTCTTAAAAGATTCCACCCACATTTGAGATGAGCACCTTCCTGGAAAATTTAGTGCAGGGCTGGACAACACATATGCCTCATATGACCCTTCAACGTCCCATTTGCAAAAGCCCAGCAAACCTGACTATGCTTGACAACAATTTTGTTTTGTTTTTAAATACCATTAGAAGTGGAACTGGAAGGCCTCTGGGAGATAAACTCTATTTCTACCTTTAATCTGCTCAAATGACCAGAAATCATATCACTTCCTATGAGGTCCCCAGGTGGCCTTCTAGCTGACCAAGGAAGAGTGCAGCAGTTTCCAGTTCTGGGAAAGCTGCCCATCTAGCATGTTCTATTTCCCTACATTATCATGTATCCTATCATGTCTAAAACTAATAGAAAATTTACTTTTGCAAGATCACAAGAGTGATTTAGCAATCTGTGAATTACAAGGTTTTACCTTTTAGTTTTGCACATGAGATTTATCCTTTATAACTTCCCTATGTTATAGAAGGATTTAGCTGAATAATGAAACATTCTAAAAATACCAGTACTTTTTTCTCTTCTGAACTAATGGTTTTCTGAATATTTAGAGAAATACCACAGGTTAGATGACAGCTAACCTTGTATGAAACTTACTGGGTGAAGTCTTCAGTTATAACATAAAACTTTGACTAGGGACAGTAATTCTAATGGTTTGATCACTTTATTGTACTTACCAATGTGCTTTATGAACAAATTGTCCTACTTATTTTATTGAATTATGTTAATCTTTAACTTGCATTCTTATAGTACTGGAGTGTATCAGTAGATATTTTAATGTTATGTGTATGTATTTATAAGTATGTGTGATTTGTTTTGATGATTGCTTATAAATAATACTTCTTAAAACTACTATGTATGGTATGTAGCAGTATGTAAGTGAGGGTGAAAAGCATATGATTGTAGTTTATCTTCTATAATTAATCCAAAGAACAGAACTGTATGTTGTAAACAAATCCATTTTAGTGTAATCTTTGCCCCCAAAGCCAAATTCAGAATAAATATTACTAATTTGCATCATTCTGCTTTTATTCTTTATTTGAAAATTTAGGTCTTTATAGAATTATGTAAGCTTTCATTACTTATTTGATTTAGATCCTGCTTTTCTGAGAGTTACAGGGCACTAAAAGTGACAAAGAACCTAAAATAAAACAGAGATGGTCTTTCAGATATTTGAAAGAACACTAGATGTAGTTATACAAAGTCATTCCTTGACACTGCTGCCTCCTGAACATCCAAAAACAGTTGGGACTCAACATCTCAAACTTGAGATTTCAGGAGCAGTGCACTCCATCTCTAAATGGCTATGCTTCAGTCCTACTAACCAACAGCACAACCATCTTGTCTAGATTTTTTTAAAAAAATTAAAAGATGGAATGCTGTCATATAAGCAACAATGGTCACAGGCTTCTCAATTCTTGCAGAGGGAAACATTTATGTTCCTAATGTTTAAAGGAGCTTATTTCTACTGGGAAAAATCCAATTTCCCATAGCAATCAGTATTGTTGCCTGAGTGTTACAACAACATCTTAGTTTGGAAAATAAATGTTATTTTACTGTAGATTCCATTTCCAACTGGGCCAGGCAAATAGCTATTGTATTCACTATAACTTCTTAGTTTGGAAAATAAATGTTATTTTACTGTAGATTCCATTTCCAAGTGGGCCAGGCAAGTAGCTATTGTATTCACTATAACTTAATTATAATCATAATTATGAGCATTAGATTTCCATTTAAATTCTGTGAGTAGACTTATATAATCTTGCTTATGACTGCATTTTTCTATGCTAAAATTCAAAATACTGTACTTGCTTAATACATTTATTTAAATTCAATACATATCCTGACTAAACAGCTGACTAGAACTGCTCTCTTTTCAGTACATTCCTGTGTATACCAACTGAGATGTCTCACCTTCTCATCAAACACAGCCAGATAAAGGCTGGCAAAAGGCAAGCAGCTCTAGCTCCCTTCCAGCACGCCCTCCCAAAACCTCCTCATGCCAAGACTGCTAGTCCTGTTTCTCAAGTCTTCAGAGATAGGAAGGATGTAACTTCAGGGTTACCACAAGCCATAAATATGATGGCAGCAGCAAACTCTGGATTATTTTAGTCCCAAATCCATTGTGTAGGGCAAGGGAAAGGATGACTAGGAAAAGGACAAAACGGCCACTGTCCCACATAGTCATGCAGCAACTGACCTGCTCCTGCTTCCACTGTCATCTCAAGCCTAGAAGCCAAGAACTATCACTACATCAAGCAACTGCTGGGGTTTGGCTAGCAGAAGTAGCCACCACCATATAACTATTGTCACAGTCAATTATGGAGGACACCACTAACCCCTGTTGTATAGCTGTCTTCCTAACCTCTGAGCTCCCACAGCTCTGGCCAAACATTGCACAATACCAGCCAGCTGGTCAGCAAATAACCACCAACATCTCCACCAACTATCCTCTTCAACCCTTCTCCATGTACTGAAGCCATCTAACATCTAGCATCCAGCAGAAACATTTAGCCTTGATGCCATATTTAAAAAAAAAAAGTGTTATTAAGCTGTATAAATTTATCCCCATGGAAGTCCATTCCATTTAGTATGTCTTCTGTTTAAATTTCACTGAATAAGAATTGTGCAGAACAAAGTTGTGAAGAATTATACCTTAGCAATGCAATTACATACATACCTAGTCAAATATATTCCTAAATAAATGGTATAGGAACTCTTTAGCTTTAGCAACCAGCATATAGCTAATCAAGTAGAGATTACAGCTATGAAATCTTACATTCATTTATGTAGATAAATAGTTTTTAAATGAAATGCATATGTTTAAATTAAAAAATAATGCCTGGAAAAGTAAGGGAGTGGTCTGAGGAACAGTGTTTCACTGATAGTATTTTGACAACTAAACTTTTATAAATAGCACACATTTCCCCTTTGGCTTATACTTTTTAGATCAACTGGCAAAAATGATTAGAATAATCTAAACATCACATTATTAAACTCTTTATATTAATTTATTCTAATTTAATTCATGTGTTTCATTTATATACAGCAAGTGCATAAATTATGATAATCTGCATTTCTCTGCTTGCAGTTGACTTAAGTATAACATAGGAGCATCAGTAAAATTATGTGGGAATCAACTGATTTAGAGTGTATTCAATACAATTTCTGAATACTCATTGCCACAAAAGTTCATTCTGAATTCCTTTTTATACAACTCAGTATGATCTCAAATTGGTGAGCAAAACTTTTTCAAAGTGGACAAGGAGGGAAGGAATTAGAGATGTTGATATCAAAGCTTCCAAAGCTGAACTTTCATTTTCCAACTCTTACAATATTGTTCACATTTTTAAAACAATGAAATAGCCATCTCTAATTTAATTATCAAAGCAAAGAAGAAAACTTTGATTAGCAACTGCCCTTTCTTAAAGCGCTAAATTAGCAGATGGGGATTCTCAATGTAAAATTTTATTAGTTTCAGCTTTCTTCTCCATCAGGAACAGTCAACAAACATTTTGAAGTCACCATAACTCTTTTCACAGGACTATTTAATACTTGTTTCTCTCATCAGTAATTTCCTTCTGTAATGCAATATTGTCTTTAGAAAAAGTTTGTGTACATATAGAAAAGATGTTAGCAAACAAGAGATTTCCCCTTCCTGCTGTTCTTTGATTTTCCAAATGTGCACCCTAACAGAAAAAAGGTCCCAGGAATTTTTAGATGATGTATCTTATCTGGAAAACGATGGCCAACCAAGGCAACAATGTACCGTGTGTAAATCATGGCTTGCCGTCGCCATCTCTTCCTATGTATCTGCTGTTGGGAAGCTTCAGATTTTGTGTTTCTGGCATGTCAGAAACTTGGGGAGCAGTAACTCTCCCACATCTCCGCTCATTATGTTACCACCTTAATAGTTGCCTGCAGCATTCCCAGCAACTTAGAAAGATTACAATTAATAATCACAA